ATATATGTGTGTGTGTGTGTGTGTGTGTGTGTGTGTGTGTGAGTAAGAATTAACAGATCAGACCATATGCGAAGGTAAAAATAGTGCACTTGACTTGCAAATGTTACCCTTCTAGTTTATACAGTTATTTCTTGTTACGTACATTGTCACAGTTTAAGTTCTTGTCTGCACAGTTTTAAGTTACACCCCCTCCCCCCTTGTCCTACAGGTGCCCAGGGCAAACGTGTGCTCAGCCTGGAGGACAAGCTGGAAAGCCTGAGGGAAGACCTGGAGAAAGCAGTCGAGATGGAAGACTTGGAGGACTTGGAGGAAGAAGAGGCCTTTGAGGAAGAGGCCTTTGAGAAAAAAGGGTTGGACGAAGAAGCCTTGGAGGAAGAAGTCTTGGAGGAGATAGAAGCTTTGGAGGATGCAATCGAGATGGAAAAATAGGCATCCAAGAAAGGCGTCAAAAATGGCTAGTGACGCCCACAATATTGTAGCTTAAACCTCAAGTGTCTACTCTTTAAGTAACTTCATGTAACTTAAGCTTAAAGTAACTTGAGCCTCAAGTAACTTCGACCTTAAGAAACTTAAACTTGGTTAAGACATTGCAGTATCCTAAACTTTAAATTTCTTAACACTCAAGCAACGTAACCTTCAGATGACTTAGCTATCCAGTACTTTAACCCTCAGGGGAAAATGTACCCGAAGTAGGGTTAATCATAATTCCATCAAAGTCTGACATACTTTCATATACACAATCATTATACAGCAGCATTCTGTCAAAGAACAGACGCTACTATGACAACCCACAAACAAAAGTCGGTAGATAACTTGAGGACTGAGTATGCAATAATTCTAAAAATAAACTTAGTTTTTTTTCTGTTTTTTAAGGATCTCCATTAGTATTACATAAATTTTACACCATTCTTCCTGGAGTCCTCAATGTTATGATGTAAATCACTTTGTGTTCGCCAGGCCTCCATCTGGGTGATTTGTAGTGAATCACCAACTTACAGATAGTAGCTTTTGGACCATCGCACACCGGGGCATGTCCCTGCTCTTTTGCGAAAGGTGTAGCCTGAACACTACTCAACCCTGCAATCTTTTTTGCAACTAGTTTTGTATTGGTTTAAACGTTAGTATAAGGAGATCAGGTGCACACATGGACACACACACATACATACAGTACACCACACAAACACACACACATACATACAAACACACACACACACACACACAATAAGTTTTACATACAAAACGCAATACAAACTAATAATGAAAGGGGCAAACACAGGGAATTTTGAAATTTCAGCAGTTTTGGTGGATTTTAGAGTGAAGAACTGCAATTTTAACAGAAGAAATTGGACGTACTCAAAATTTTCACTGCTCATTAATTGAAAAAGACTGGGTTTCTTTGCTTACTTACTTGATTTTGTCGAGTCCAAACTTACAGAAATCACCAAGACTGTCCAAAACTTGGTCCAGTTTCTTGTGTTGGAAACTGCAGTTCAAACTTGATTCACGAATACTAATAATGGTAATAAAAGAGGTGATCGGTTAAAATGCCTGGCTTTGTGTCCTTTATTTTTGGAATCTGTGTCAAGAAAAGACTGTAGGGCAGTGACAGGCCTTAGTTTGAAGTGATTACTGTTAGGCCAACTGGTAATTATACGTAATATCTTGTTTAATGAGGTTATTGAGTATCAGGCAAGAAGCACAGTTTGCTTCCACTCAAAACATGAAACAAGAATAAAACACAAACAAGACATACATTGCGTCGATGAAGGTTAGACATCCAGGTAATAAGATACGCCAAAAAACTGTTAATCAAGCAACTGGATATGATTTGGAGCCCATCGCGTTTCCCATGGTTTACAAAAGAGAAGCCAAAATTTTTAGACACAGTTTCAGACAACTGCCCTCAATCAAATAAACTGTAGATTTTTAAGTTATCTGTACTCTGCTTCAATGTATCCTTGTTATTTGTAATTAGCTAAGGACAGGAATTTGCATTGGGCTTATTATATAACCGGTTTGACCTCTTCGAAGGCAACACAACCAGTTGGACAAGCCGAGGCGAGCTCTGAAGCTCTGCGGCTAAGAACTTTATTTCCTCGAACGCTACTGAAGATGGCGGGCGGTCTGACTCTCTTCGCGGTTCTTCTCCTCCTGGGTGAGTAGTTTTTTTTAAATTTTTTTTACTGAAATAAAACGCGGTTCTTGTTGCTACTTTACTGTCTAAATTATGAAAAAGGAAGAATTCAATATCATCTAACAGAGGGGTGGTTTGAGAAAAGGAAAAACTAGGGGCGCTTTTTCATTTTTCAGGTGGATTTTACGGTCGAGCGTGTTTCCATTTTTTTGTGAGATAAAGCGGTGCCTATTGCTACTTTACTTACTAAATTATGAAAAAGGAAGAAGTCAGTATTACCTAACGGCGGGGTGGTTTAAGAAAAGGTAAAACTATAGGGGCGCTTTTATTAATTTTTGCGAGGGATTTTACGGTTGAGCGTGTTTCTGGGACTGTTTCAGAGGTATCGCTGGTATGTTTGTGACGTCATTTTTCTTCGTTTAATCGTACTTCAGAAAGCTCCACTACAGAAATTAATACAGTTTTTTTTACTAACTTTGCTAGTCTCCATCAGACTCCTTTGCAGGCTGAATAAATAGTAGAAATCGACCTAGAAATCAATGTAGCTGGCCAGGGGAGTTAGCCGTCCATAGGGGGTCCAATCTGCCTGCTTTTTGGACCTTCCGTGGCCAGTTAGCTCTCCTTGGTTAGCTACATTGATTTTTTTTTTTAGGCCGTTTTCCACTATTTATTCAGCCTAAAAGGAGTCTGGTGGCGACTATAACTTTGTTTCGAGTGTCGACGCAGACTACATTTCTATATACATTGACTAGATAGTCATAAAGATAGTAACTAAAATGCTCTTTTCAGGCAAATGCTAATATCTTTAGGTGTGGTTGCTCCCCTAGGATAGCTCTTTAGTTCAGAGTGTCTGCGTAGACTACAAAGTTTTGCACATAATAAGGCAATTTTAATTAAGTGCTAATGTTTCCTTAAATGTTTTAGGCGTGGTTGTTCCCCTAGGATAGATTTTTGTTCAGAGTGCCTGCGTAGACAAATACTAGTATATCCGTAAATAATTTCATCAGGTTGGTAAACGAATCTGTTGTTATGACGCGTTCGGTAGCATAAACTTTGTAAAAATGGTTACGGACATTTGTGCATGCACATAACAAGGTGTGGCTGTTCCCGTAGGAGGTCGTTTAAGACAACAGCTCTTGACTACATGGCCATTTTGATTAAAGGATAATTCTTACTTACAAGGCAATTCATAATTGAATGGTTATTTTTAATTGAATGCTAAGTTTTAATTGAACGCAATTTTTTAATAGTATGCTAATTCTTGCTTAAATGTTTTGGATGCAAATTTTTCAATTTGCTTAGAGAAAGATGGTTGCCGTAATTTACGACAATTTAGCCACAAATGTTGTTCTGATTAAGTGGAAAAGTTGTCAAATACTAGTATATCCGTAAATAATTTCATCAGGTTGGTAAACGAATGAATAGCAAAGTTCTTTGATCACAACAACTTTGCTATTCCTTGTCAAATATAGTTTTAGTCGCATCTGTTAGTCTGAAACACAATGCTGATATCTAGTACTTATGGGTACTAGTATCACGCGTTCGGTAGCATAAATGTCGTAAAAATGGTTACGGACATTTATGCATGCACATAACAAGGCTCTTTAAATTAAATGCTTATGCAGAAAAGAATAAACGTTTCTGCTTCAAACTTTTTCTACTTGCTTCAAGATGATTCTTACTTATCCTTACAAACTCAGAAGCCTCAATGAAGTACCGCATGTATCCGCTAGGTGCTCCATGCTCGAACTTGACCTTCGTCTTTGCTGCCCCACTTATCCACTAGATACCATAATGACAATGACATTGAACCTAATTGCATATTCACGCCCTACATGGGCCAAATGCACTAAGTTAGATAACTTGGGTAGAAGTATAGAAGAAACCAGTGTTACCATTTCTGTGCTACGTCTCTATCTACAGGATCTATCTACAGAATCATAATTTATTTATTATATATGTAAATGAGTCCTGACACGTTTTTATTGTCTGTGTATTACAGGACATTCAGCAACAGCGAGCATATGTGGTAAGTGTCTTAAACAATACCTTTTTATAACCTACAGGTTTAATTATAGTAGTTAAATATTATATGTTCATCCTTAACGTACTAGTATATAATTGGCCAAGAAACCAATCTGGGGAAAATGACAATATTGTTCAGAGATTATTCCTAAAATACAAGAGGATTTGTCCATTCTGTCCCAATGATATTGAAGACGAACAACATTTTATTTTGGATTGTCCACTATATAACGATAAACGTACAAAGCTGTTCAACCTTCTCTCCGCTTGCTCAACAGAATTTGTTACATTTCTTGCTATAGATAAATTTCATCCTAGAAGTTGATAATTCTTACTGTATACAGATAGGTTAATGTATCAAAGAACCTTAGAACAAGTAGTATTAGCTGACTCATCTATTGTTTTGTACGTAGGTTAATTTCGTTGTACCCATGTATTGTCTGTATGTCTCATGTAGTTTAAGACCTTACCGAAGTCGCTGTACTTTTGTTGCGTCAATAAAGTTCATCATTATCCACATTTATCTTAGCGGTATTTTAATTGTTGCAAAATTAGTCCTAGAGGTAAGTGCGGTATTGGCCGTAACTTCTTGTGTTCTTCTTCTTCATCTCTATAGTTATTACCGGGCAAAACAAGGCCGAGAACCGCCCTGCGACCCAGTCGAGTACTGCATTAGGAGGAGTCGCCAGCCGCGCTGTGGATGGAAACAGATTTTCCCGCTTCTCGGGTAACTCCTGCACCCACACGCAAACGGAGTCGAACCCGTGGTGGCGAGTCGACCTGGGCAGCAGTCAGTGTGTGGCCTGGGTGCGCATCTACAACCGGGAAGACTGTTGCCAGGAAAGGCTGGACGGCTTCACGGTTCACGTGGGCGACAACCCCGACGTGCTGGCCAACCCTACCTGTCCCGGGGGACCGTTCTCCATCAGCAGACGCACGAACAATAAGGGGGATAAACTGTGGCGGACTGACCGGCCGATATGTGGGCGTAGCTCTGAGAGGCTCCGGAAAAGTCCTGACACTCTGTGAGGTGCAGGTCTTTGGAGGTACGTCTGCATTAAACCACTAGACTTCTGTTGTTCTTCGTTAAACTATGTCATTTAGGTCACATCATAATCAAACTGGATTAAACTTTAAAGGTGTCCAATGCAGTTTTAGGGTCGTAAAATTAGATATTAGGCCAATATTCAAGTTATAAATAAAACATACTAAGTTGTAGCAACACTACCCCAATATATACCGAGTCTACTGTACCAGAACCGTGCCTAACCCTAAACTTCAGGTATAGAACTAGATAGACACAGTTCTTGATACGATAATAGCCGGAAAATAATCTGTCGTCAGAATTGACGTAGATTTTCATTAATGACACAACTCCCATGTAAGTTTGTTTTAATCCTCAAAACGTAACGTGTTACAGAGAGTAGGGGCCGGAAGCGAGGAGGATATTATGGAGCACTCACAGGTACAGGTAAGGAATGTTTAGTTTCCCTTGGAATATATAATGAAAACAAAGCAATGCATGGAACCCGGAAAAATGTAGAACAAAGCAGACCGTAAACCAATCGACAGGAGCATAGTTTCAACCCATATCTACTCTTAAGCGTTATTGTACAAATAAGGGAAGATGTCTTGTCGTGTGTGCGTTTGCCACCTCCTCTACACACGCACACACACGCGCGCGCGCGCACACACACATATATATATATATGTGTGTGTGTGTAAATATTGAATTTTCCTTGCAAACTGTAACATTTCTAGTTTAAACAGTTCTTTCTTGTGACGTCCATTGTCATAGTTGAAGTTCTTGTCTGCACAGTTTTAAGTTACCCCCCCCTCCCCCCTCTGTCCTACAGGGGCCCAGGACAACGACTTGGAGATGGAAGCCTTGGAGGAAGACGCCTTTGAGGAAGACGCCTTTGAGGAAGAGGCCTTGGAGGAAGACGTCTTGGAGAAAAAAGCCTGGGAGGAAGAGGCCTTGGAGGAAGACGCCTTGGAGGAGGCAGCCGAGATCGAAGGCTTGAAGGAAGAGGTCTTGGAGGAGATAGAAGCCTTGGAGGAAGCAGCCTTGGAAAAATAGGCATGCCAGAAAGGCGTCAACAATGGCTAGTGACGCCCACGATATTGTGGCTTAAACTTCAAGTGTCTACGCTTTAAGTAACTTTCAGTAACTTAACTCTCAAGGAACTTTGAATTAGTGATTTAAGAATCCATGGCAGCGGGTTAAGACACTGCAGTCTTGTCTTAACCTCTAAGTCACTTGACACTCCTTGACTTAACCCTCAAATGACTTAGTTATCCAGTGATTTAAATTGAAACGGACTTAAGAGAAAGTACCAAGTAGGGTTAATCATAATTCCTCAAAAGTCTGACATACTTTCATATCATTATTGTCAAAGAACAGACGTTACTATGACAACCCACACACAAAAGTCGGTAGATAACTTGAGGATTGAGTAAACAATAATTCTAAGAATAAGTTTGGTTTTTTTCTGTTAGATTAAGATCTCCATTGGTGATATATAAATTCTACACTATTCTTCCTGGAGTCCTCAAGGGTGATAATGTAAATCACTTTGTGTTCGCCAGGCCTCCATCCGGCTGATTTGTAGTGAATCACCAACTTACAGATAGTAGCTTTTGGACCATCGCACACCGGGGCATGTCCCCGCTCTTTTTCGAAAGGTGTAGCTAGAATTCAACCCTGCAATCTTTTTACAACTGTAATGGTTTAAACGTTTAGTATGAGGAGATCGGGGGCACACCTATTATGGTAATAAAATTGGTGATCGGTTGAAATGCGTGGCTTGGTGTCCTTTATTTTGGACGTTGTGAAGACCGCGGGGCAGCGACAGGCCTTTTAATTCAAGTTTTATCAAAGTGATTAGGGATTAGTCGATGAAGGTTAGACATCCAGGTAATACGACACGCCAAAAACAGTTACTCACTTAAACTTACTTTTGATACGGCAATAGTCTGTTGGTGTGATTGCCCGATACGGAATGTGGTTACCGAGGTTTTAATGAGATGCCCTAAAGCTAAATCTCTCGAACTGACAGAAAAATGATGTTTATTAGGGAAATATATCAGGCCTATTTTGTTTCTGCAACCGACTCCAAAAACGAGGAAAATCTATCTTCTTCTTCTTTGGATGCGAGTAGATAGAGCACTTGAACTCATTTGAACTCTCTTGAATCTGTCAAACATCTGTGGCCAGACAACCGCTATTTGATTATGATTGAGTATAAAGGGCATGCTTGGTTACACGCAAACGTAAACCCGCCCAACCTTAACGCTAAGGGACGGTTTTCCATGGTTTACAAAAGGAATGAAAGACCTTTATTGTACATTTTTGCTCATTGCGAACTAAGTGCAGGTCACGACAAATAGCGACAGTAGACTAAAATATATCTATAATAAAACTACATGTGTACAGGTTCTGCTTCTTCTCGCTTCTTAAACAGTTATAAATGTAAGAACAGATGGAGCTTATAGTGCGTAGGTTATCGAGTTTCATGAGGAATGTGAATTTTTCTTTTCTATCTAAAATTCTAATACTACAAAAGAGAAGCCCAACCCTTCAGACAAAATCTTTAGACACAGTTTCAGAGAAATAGCCTTTATTATGTAGATTTTGAAGTTATTTGTGCTCTGCTTCAATGTATTGAATTTGAAGTAAGCTTATTATAATAACCAGTTAGATTTCTTTGGTGGCAAGAGAACAGGTTGGACAAGCCGAGGCGAGCTCTGAAGCTCTGCGGCTAAGAACTTTATTTCCTCAAACACCACTACTGAAGATGGCGGGCAGTCTGACTCTCTTCGCGGTTCTTCTCCTGCTGGGTGAGTAGTTTTTTTTTCTTTTTTTGTGAGATAAATCGGAATCTATTGCTACTTTACTTACTAAATTATGAAAAAGAAATAATTCAATATCATCTAACGGCGGGGTGGTTTGAGAAAATGTAAAACTAGGGGGGCTTTTTCATTTTTCCGATGGATTTTACGGTCGAGCTGGTTTTCTTTTTTAGTGAGATAAAGCGGTGCCTATTGCTACTTTACTTACTAAATTATGAAAAAGGAAGAAATTATGAAGCAAGAAGTCAGTATCATCTAACGGCGGGGTGGTTTGAGAAAAGGAAATGCTAGGGTCGATTTTTCATTTTTTTTGCGAGGGATTTTACGGCCGAGCGTGTTTCTGCGACTGTTTCAAATGTAATTTGGTAGGTCAGACTGTTTGCTATGTTTTAAGACTTAAAGCCATGTTGATTTGATTATATGGATGGCATCCTCTGGGAACCCCAAAACTGACGCAGGCGTACAAATAAAACAAAAGTTTCCTTCAATCTGAGGAATGGAAGTTTTGTAAAACAGATAAAATTAAGGGGGTGTGGCCTTAAGTGGAAAAGTCAGTGCAGTGACCAAGCTTACTCACCGCCCATCTGTGTAAAATATTGTCAAAAATTACTTTTGTTTCGCATCTGTCAGGCTGATACACAGCGTTATTATTTAGTATTTATGGGTATCACGCGTCAGGCAGCAAATGGTTGCGGACATTTGTGCATGCACATAACAAGGCTCTTTGAATTAAATGTTTCATCTGCAAACTTTTGCTACTTGCTTATAGAGGATTCCAACAACAGGTGTTATATTCCCCAGGTGCCATTACATTTTCTGTATGTGCAGTACAGAAATTGTGCAGAATTATGCAGTACATTTTGATATGGCAGTAGTCTGTCGGTATGATTGTCCGATACGGAATGTGGTTACCGTGGTTACCGAATCCCTGTAGGGGCAATAATGAGATGTCCTAAGGCTAAAACTGACAGCAAATGCGTGTTTTGATTCATTGCAGGCAATATTGCAATTAGCCCTCGGGCAAGAACTTGCAGTAAACAACTCTCTTAATTTATAACATCAGGCCTGTTTCTGCAACCAAATCCAAAAACGAGGAAAATCAATTTTAGTCCTCTTCTTTGGATATGAGTAGCTAGAGCACTTCAATTTTTTTCTTGATGAAATCATTTGAACTCTCGTTTGCTTGAATCTGTGAAACATCTGTGGCTAGACAACCGCTATTTGATTATGATTGAGTAGGGCATGCTTGGTTACACGCAAACGTAAACCCGCCCAACCTTAAGGCTAAGGGACGGTGGGGGCGGTCTTTCATTCCCAGATCTCTGCAAATCATGCAGCTATACGGAATGTGGTTACCGTGGTTACCGGGTCCATGTAGGGGTAAGAATGACATGTCCTAAGGCTAAATGTCACGAACTGACAGCACGAAATATATCAGGCTTATTTAGTTTCTGCACCCGATTCCAAAAACGAGGAAAATCTATCTAGGCACCATCAGTTTTGGGGAGGAAGCTTGCCTGGCGATTCTATTGGAACTCTCTTGGATCATATATGAGTTCTTACACGTCCTTATTGTCTGTGTATTACAGGACATTCAGCAGCAGCGAGCGAATGTGGTAAGTGTCTTAAACAAACATTTTTATAGCGTTCAGGTATAATGGTAGTTAAATTAATTGTTTTATTTATTTATCTATTTTCCGTCATTTTTACACAGGGTGGCCCATTCAGTCATAGCACTTATTTTTAATGGGGCCCTGTTTTACACAACAAAACACAACAGCCACATACAGACAGTAACATAGGGATACAATAAATAATGATAATTGTAATGATAATGATAATAAAGAAAAAACAGTAACTAACCAATAACAATGATAAATAACGATGATAACAAAAGGTACAAATTGTCCAGTCATTGTCCAGTCCAGTTTGTTGGTATGGAGGGGTCAGATGTCATGCCATTGTTCCAAAACAAGAGTTCCGAGATCTCATACCTCCATGAAATATGGGCTTGACATGTAAATGTATATTTCTTCTTTAATTATGCAAATTACCTCCACATTAACATAATAAATGCATCGTGATGTTAACTTGTGATTAACTTACACATGTACCAAGTATGAAATTCCCATCATTTACCACTAAGGATTCATAGAATTTTCGCATTGATTATGCAAATTAGGTCATCATTTGCATAATTGGTATCTGTCGATGTTCCATCTGCCATAGATTATATACATTTCATGTATGAAAGTACTATAATGTAAAACACTGTAATTATAGAATTTCCTCATTAATTATGCAAATAAGGTCCTCATTTGCATAATTTGCAGTTAATTATGTACATCTCTCTCTCAGCCACCTACCTACCAAAAATGATGAAAATACGTTGTTCCTATCTGGACTTATTGGCTTTTAAAGATTTCGCCAGAAAGTGCCTTGCAGTTCCAGAACAAGCTGCTAGGGGGACCAAACTCACGCCACTCATTCCTAACAAAAAAAGCTATCTGTCACCAAAAAGTTAAGACCATGGCATGTTCAGGACAAAAGACACAAAAACCGGAAGTTCTTCTTCAGTACCAAGGTCATCCACCAGGAAGCCCATATTTGACCTTGACCTTTGTCTTTCTAAGACTTACCAACGTACAAAATATCATCACAATCCATAAAGGCGTTATGAAGTTATGCTGACTACAAATGTGCGGAAACACAAACACACAGACAGACACACAGACACACACACACACACACACACACACACACAGACAGACGCGCCAAAAACAATACCTCCATTTTTCATGGAGGTAATAATAGTCCTAGAGGTAAGTACGGTATTGGCCGTAACTTCTTGTGTTCTTCTTCTTCATCTTTATAGTTAAGGGCACGCGCAACTTGGCCAAGGGTCGCTGGGCCATACAGAGGAACACTATGTCCGGAGGAGACGCCAGCCGCGCTGTGGATGGGAACAAAAGTCCCTACTGGTCAAGTAACTCCTGCACCCACACGAAATTTACTCGCAACCCATGGTGGCGAGTCGACCTGGGCAGCACTAAGTGTGTGGCCGAGGTGGTCGTCGTTAACCGGATAGACAGCTGTTGCAACAGAAGGCTGGAAGGCTTCACCGTTCACGTGGGCCATAGCGGCAATCCAGCCTTCAACCCTAGCTGTGGGGGACCGCAGTCCGTCAGCAAACAAAACGACAAAGGGGAAATCAGGGTAGACTGTGGCGGGCTGAGAGGCCAATATGTTGGGATAAGTCTGAAAGGCAACGGAAAAACCCTGACACTCTGTGAGGTGGAGGTCTATGGAGGTACGTCTGCATTATACCACTAGATTTCTGTTGTTCGTCGTTAAACTATGTCATTTAGGTCCAATACAGTTTTAGGGTCGGAATATCAGATTTTAGGCCAATATTCCAGTCATAGATAAACATACTAAGTTGTAGCAACACTATCCCAATATATACCGAGTCTACCGTGCCAGAACCGTGCCTAACCCTAAACTTCAGGTATAGTACTAGATAGACACAGTTCTTGATACGATAATAGTCGGAAAATGATCTGTCGTCAGAATTGACGTAGATTTTCATTAATGACACAACTCCCATGTAAGTTTGTTTTAATCCTCAAAACGTAACGTGTTACAGAGAGTAGGGGCCGGAAGCGAGGAGGATATTATGGAGCACTCACAGGTACAGGTAAGGAATGTTTAGTTTCCCTTGGAATATATAATGAAAACAAAGCAATGCATGGAACCCGGAAAAATGTAGAACAAAGCAGACCGTAAACCAATTGACAGGAGCATAGTTTCAACCCATATCTACTCTTAAGCGTTATTGTACAAATAAGGGAAGATGTCTTGTCGTGTGTGCGTTTGCCCCCTCCTCTACACACGCACACACACGCGCGCGCGCACACACACACACACACACACACACACACACACACACACACATACACACGCACACACACACACACACACACACACACATGGACACTAACACGTA